ATCTTCTTTGCAATCCTCCACTGAGCACAGTAAATGAACCCATTCAAGTAGGAAGGAAAAAAAGAAAAAGGAATTATAGAAAAAGCCGCTGTTTTCTGATGTGGTCGGAGGTGTTTTTGCAGCGGGGGCTGGTAAGGAGGGGCGCCGGGCAAGGGCGAGAGCCCCGACGGGACGGTCGGAGCCAGCCCGGGGATGCCCTCGGCAGGCCGGGCCGCCTCTCGGGCAGGAAGCCGCGCGGTCCCTCTGGGGTCCGGCTCGCCGGGACCAGCCCGGTCCCCGCTGCGGGGTTGCCTCCACCCGTGTCCGCGGGTGGCGGAGCCGCCACACGGGGTGCCACGGCCACCGCGCCCCCGCTTCGTCTGCTGCAGCGGCTGCGGGGACACGGCCGGGGTCCCGGGCTCCTCACTCTCCTTCCCCGTTTCAGTGAGCCGCAGCCACAGGTGGCCGTCGGCGAATGAGCTGGAAAGCGCGCTGCGAGCGGTGTGAAAACAAGCAAAGATTTATTTTCTTTCTTTCTTTTTTTTTTTAGCTTCCTGGGAAAGGTGAAAATTCATTTAAATGGGCGAAGACCTGGGGGGAGCAAAGGGTTTCTGGGGATTTATCTGGAGGGACCAGGTGGTCGGGCACACGCAGACATCCCCTACGGGCCCACGGAGGCCAACAAGGTCTCACCCCGTGGGCCCACAGAGACAGGCTCATCGCGGGGCGGATCCTGCCATAAGACCCCACGCATCTGCGGGCGGAGCACACGCGTGGGCCCTGCCGCGTACTTTTAACAGCCCCAGAGAAATTATTGTCGCATCTCTTTCCCGTCCGTACCGTAGGGCGGCTCTCGGTGGGACATCGAGGATACCCGCCGAAGCGGCCGGTACAGAGAGGTGAGCAGCAAACCCACCTCTCGGTCCAAGGATGCCTCCCCACGGGAACGGCAGGTCCGGATCCCGTGGGCAGACACGCGGGAGTCTGGCGGGAGAGAGTGAAATATGAACCGGCAAACCCCGAAATGAGGCCGGGCAGCTGAAAAGCGTCCAAGTCTGTCTCAAGCAAACCAAGAGATGAAACATTTCAGGTTATTACGTTCCGCCTTTGAAGCAAACCGTTTCCCGCAGATAACAATGCGTAGGTATATTTAGATAGCACGGCTCGTCCAAGGGGAATGTGTCTTGCGCTATTTGAGAAAAAACTCTAAGAGTAAGTGCAAATATTTGACGCTGAAGAGCTCTTAAGGCTTGAAGAGTACCATTTACTTATTTCTACACATCAGTGTGGGCTTAGGATGTTAAATAGATTAAAAGGCTAAGAGAGGTCACTGAAGTAGACTCTCTTTCTCTCATCCTGACTTTTTTTCCTTGCAAAGTTTTTGCACTTTCTTTCGAGTGTCCTTGGCAAACTCCTCTTAAGAGCCACCTCGGATACTGTATAAGTTTTTGCCGCTCTGAACCCCGGCCCCCTCCCCTCCTCTGGTCGACCCTCCCGAAGCTCCTCTTCTGTGCAGGCATTCAGCAAATATTTGCCTGCGGGGTCAAGATATTAATAAGCACTTTTCGGTCGCCTTTTATACGCGGGGCGCTCGGGAGCGCGGGGCAGCGGCGGCGCTGCCGGCCGGGCCGGGGCAGGTGAGCGTGGCTGTACCTGGCAGCGGGGGGCCGTGGCCCCAGTCCCCCCGCCGGCCGTGGGCTGCCCCGGCGGTGACACGGGCAGTCGGGGCCGAAGGGGACACAGGGGCGACCGCGGGAGTAGCCGCTCCGCCGAGGACGGACACGTCGTTTCAATTTAATCTCATTTAAAAAGACGTAACTAATAAATTTGTATGGACGGGGCTGCCGGAGACGTAAAGCAGAGTCGATAGTGGTTCAATCCCATTGAACCCTATTGAAAACCATGACAACAAGGAACAAGCTCCGATTTATCCCGGAGAGTTAAAGCACATTGTGGGAAGGCGTCAATCACCTATTATTCCAGATCTGAACAAATGCAAAATCTTGACTGGAACAAATGCTTCCAACAGGTCCGGGACATAGGGCTACATTTCCCTTTTGTCCACGGCCTAGCAGTTGGCATGTATTTGTGCTCCCCTCGCTCCGACCACCCAGGACGGCTGGGAGGCTGTGCTCGGAGCTGGGAGATAACTACTGTCACCAGGCACGCTTGATAGGTGGCTGCAGTAATCACGGCCTGGGAATCGTTTATATGGAGCCTGTCCAGTCCCGAAGAAATATGCGGGAAGGTGGCCAAATGAAGCCTTGTGCCCCGTTCATCTCGCCCACAAATCTCGCCGATATAAATCTCACCTCTCCCTTGCCGTTATTGCTAATTGACATTTTCCCCGAGAATTGTAACTGCTCCCAGAGGCGACACCCAGACCGGGGCGGGGAGGGGCGGTCGCGGCCGAGGGCAAGCGGGCAGCAGGTCTGGGGGACGAGAGAGGGGCTGGATAGATATAATCTATACACAATAGCTTATAGATGCCTGTTTGGACAGGGAAATAAGAGCCGACAAAGCGGCCGGAGAGAAGAGTATCTCCGCGTGTATCTGAGTTTCCCTTTGCAGGCCCGCAGCGCATCGCCGCAGGGTTTCGCGACGTTCCCCGTTGGGGATGAGCTGTGAGAGCCTCGGCCCGCGTTCAAAGGAAAGCTGATCTGCTGGGGAGGGGCTGGGTGTCCCCTTCTCTCCAGGCTTTGCTCCATCCAGCCGGACTGGCCTCCCACTGCTTTCCGAGGCGTGCGCTCGTCCCTCCCGCGAAACCGGCGGGCAGCGACGGGGAAGGGCGCTGCGGCGGGCGGCTGGGAGCGTGTCCCGCCCCCGCCCTCTGTGCTCCCACGGCTTGAGCCACGCTGCGCGACCCGCGTGAAACATCGCCCCCATCGGTCACTGCTTCCGCTGCCCTGCAGCTGGGCACCGAGCCCTGTCGCTGCGGGTGTGCATTTGAGCGGCACGCTGGACTGCTTGTTTCTGTACCGTATTTTCTTAAGTCTTCGGCGGCCACCGCGGCCGGGTAAAGCCCGGCCGCAGCCTCGAGAGGGGACAGGGTCACCCGGTGAAAGGATGAGGCTGAGAGAAGGCGCTTGTCCCGCGGAGCTGCCGCCGGGCGCCCCCGAACCGTGCCCAGACAGTGTCAGCGCCTTCCTCCCGGGGGGCGCCGGTTCTCGGCTTCGCTCGCTTGCCTCTTTCGGCAGATGAAGCGGTGGTCGGCAGGGACGGCGCGGATAAATAGACGCACCGTGTTTGATCTTTTCTCCCCATCCCCAGCTGGAGTCATTTCACTCACTCACACACCCCGCCCTAAGAGATATTCCCTGGGTTATTACAAGACAAACTGGTGGTTAAAAAAAAAAAAAAAAATCACCCCTACCCCCGTCCTGACTCTTCCTTGTAGACCGAGTATGCCAAGCTCCCGCTATTATCTTTCTCGAGAAAAAGGTGCACCTTCCACTACCATGCCCAGGAGATGCAAAAAACCCCATCCCAGAGATCCCATTCCTTAACGCACACAGCCGCCAACCTTCCCCGCCGAGACCTCGGTCGAGGTGTGAAAAATGCCCAGTTGAGGGTAGGAAACCTGCCAACAAGAAGAGATTTTGAGGTAGCACTGCAAACAGCCCGGCAAATAAAACAACGACTTAAATTCCATCCAGATTTAAAGAAAGAGGCAAGAGAGAGGGGAAAATAAAGAGGGAGAAGTGGGGAGGGGGCTCTCGGCATGCTCTGCGGATGTCCTGGGAGGATTCACTTTGTCTGCGGATAGAAGGGACGCTGGTGGCTTCGGTGGCGGATGGAGGGGGGTGGTTGTTGGTCATCCACATGCCACCCAAGATGTTATTCACTGCTAACAATTACCATTATCTGTCCCCACTTTTGGCTAATCAGACAGAATATGTAATGATGACGCCTGTTTCCTGCTGTCTTTGGGAGGTAACGGGTTATTCTCTCATGGGGGTGGCGGGAGGGGGGGGTTACACCTACTCCCATTAGGGCTTTAGCACTTGACTAATTCAGGTACTTAGCATCCTATAGACAGGGACGGTTTGAAAGCAGGCAGTGTTTGCAGTGGGGAGGACTGTTTATATAAACAGGACACCTCTGTAAACGACACTAATATTTGGGGTTAGGTGGAGATGGAAAAGAAGGTCCTCTTGAGCCGAGAGATTCCCCAGTAACTGGACGCAATCCTTTCCCTGCAGCTTTTAAGGAAGGGGGTTCGGTTTGGGGTGATATTTTTTGGGTGTGTGTGCATAACCTACCATGGCCACATCTGGAAGGATCAGTTTTACAGTGAGGAGCATTTTGGATTTACCAGAGCAGGATGCTAATAGCATAAAGCAAGCTTCTGACCATCGCCACTCAGCGGAGAACTACACCGGATCGCCGTATCGAGGGTGGATAGAAACAGACAGGAATCACTATCCCTGTGAGTATAAAACGGACAGGAATTCGCTATCTCTGCACAATTATCTTTTATTTGTTTCTCTTTGACGACGATGCGAAGCAGTGAATTGACAGTGTACATAGCCTACAGGATCGAGGGAATCCAGGCTGGGAGTTTTATAAAATATTACTAAATTTCAACAACGAATCAGCAGAAATATCCCGGGCACGATCTTAAGACAGAAAAGATGGTTTGGTTTTTGTTGTGGGTTATTTTGGGAGGCTCTTGGGGTTTTTTTGGTAGATCAGTGCATATTCCCAGCTATGGCAGAAACCAAAATCTCAGGCTGTGTCCACCTTTCTCTGTGCGCTTATAATTTAAGCCTACTTCCCGGGTTAGTTTTTTTACCCCCGTTTCACTGTTGCAAGAAATCCTGTCTTTTTGTGCTGAAGGGTTTGAGGCCAGCCCACGCTCCGCAGAGGAAAGCTGAGCAAGCTCCCGTGCCTCGCCTCCCCGAGCCGCCGCGGAGCGCCCTGCGCCACCGCCTAGATCCAAGAACCTGTCACCGCGGCGGGCAGGCTGCAGCTCGCAAACCCAGCTGTATAGCACATAAATTGTGCCACAGATATACGGCGTTTACTGTATACTTGTGTACACAGGGTGCGCAGGGAGATATCGTCATCTGAGTGGGTGCGAGAACACCCCGGGATAGGTTAAATATTAAGGTAATCGAGTGGCGAGTGAAAAGCAGTTATGAAAGGACCGGGGAGCCGCATATTCTGTTTCAGTACTTAGGGAACACGAGGGCTGGCAGCCCGCAATCCCCAGGATGTGCGCGGCGAAGTGGCTGTGCCCCTGTTGGGATTACCAGCGGGGAAAAGCGGGTCCCAGCCCGGACGACAGCCCGCTCGGTTCCGTGGGCTAGGTTTAATGTGTTCGTGGGGTTTGCTCACATTTATCGTTGACTGTTGGGATTAATCCGGCCCGGTAGGCAGACGGGGCTCTCCCTGCGAGAGGCGTTTCAGCTCTCGGCGGCCTCCTCGATGCCCGCCGCGCTCCCCGGCCCCGGCTGCTCCCTCTCTCTAACTCACTCGCTGTCCCCAGCTTCCGACGAGAGCGGCCCGGAGATGAGCTTGCCCGACTCCACCCAAAGGTCGCTCCCCGCCCGCGGCTCGGAGGCCGAGGAGAAGAAGAAGAAGCGGCGGGTGCTCTTCTCCAAGGCGCAGACGCTGGAGTTGGAGCGGAGGTTCCGGCAGCAGCGATACCTTTCGGCGCCCGAGCGGGAGCAGCTGGCCCGGCTGCTCAGCCTCACCCCCACACAGGTGAAGATCTGGTTCCAGAACCACCGCTACAAGATGAAGCGGGCGCGGAGCGAGGGCGCCGGCAGCCCCCAGCCGCGCCCGCCGGCCCTGCTGCGCCGGGTGGTGGTGCCGGTCCTGGTGCGGGACGGGGAGCCCTGCCGCGGCTGCCCCGCCAGTCCACCGGCTCCCACAGCGCGCCCCAAGCTGGGCTGCGCCCTGGCGGGATGCAGCGCCCAGGCCGCCCTCGCCCTGCAGGGCTACCGAGCCTGCCCGCCCGCCGCCGCCCTCGGCGTCTTCCCCGCGTACCAGCACTTAGCGCACCCCGCCGTCGTCTCCTGGGGATGGTGACAGCGGCACTCAGCCCTCCGGGGCCGGACTCATCCCACGGCCGCGGGCCGTAGCGCGGGGAAGGCGCCGCGGGGCAGGGGCACCGCGCGGCCGGGCTCGGGCGGGCCGGGCCGGGCGGCGGAGCGCGGCTCCGGGGCGGCGGCAGGCCGGGACGAAGCTGGCCGGGGCCACGCTCCCCTACACCGGCCTCACCCGAGGGCGAGGGTGCCGCGTGAGGCGCGAATTTCGTAAAACCTCCGCTCCTCCTCCTTCTCCTGTTCGAGAGATTCCTTGTTAAAAATTAATGATCATCCTAGCAATCTAGTGTGTTTTAAAATAGCTGACTCTTCCAGTGACTAATAAAATGATTTTTGGCAAATAAATTTTTCCTGGCGGAGAAGTGTAGTTTTGACAATTTGGACTGTTTCGTAGGATTGCCTCCTGTGCTATAAAATCCTAAATATCTCCAGTTGAATTTGACTTTCAATTTCTTTTATTTTATCCAAATGAGCCGGTTAATGGCAAATAAATTTTGCTGCAAGCAAATCACTGTAAACGCGGTCATAATTCCTAGAGGAAGTGTGAGCCCAGAGTCTCTCGCTCTGTCAACCCCCTCTCCCACGACTTTGCGTTTAAAGCGGCGATGTCTTCCACAGAGGCACTAAGGCAGGATCCAGAATTAAGCTAATCTTTCCGTTAGCCTGAAACGGTTCCAAATTTCTACTGGGGAAGGATAGCTAAGAAAATTATGTTTTGAAACTATTTGATAAACTACCGATTTTATTGCCTTGGGGTGAAAATAATACTATATATTATCTGCCAACCGCCAATGGGGAAAAACCCTAAAACTCCCTACAAAGCTAAACCCAGGTCCCTGAAACACGGACTAGACGGGCTGCTTCCATCCCTCCGACGGCACCTGCAGACCATGAACGCTGAGGGAATATTTGGGGCAAAAATCCCACGGGGACTGGTACAGATAACGTGGCCGCCGAGGAAAAGGTGTCGACGGAAAGGGACCCGTAGGAGATATTTAAATGGGGTGTGTGGGGTTTTTGTTTATTTGTTTGCTTTTAATTCCCTGGAAGGGGTTAATTTTGAACGCGGTATGTCCCTGGCATGTGATGTGCTGCCTACACATCCCGGGGAGCCCACGGAGAGCGAATATGGGAGGTGCTGCCGTCGCGGATGAGGAGGCGACCAAAAGCGCACACCAGTTTCCGTGGGTGATTTTGGCCGCCTCCTCGGGCAGAATGGCCCCGCTCTCCTCCCACCCCTACCTTAGCCAGGGCTTCGCACCCTCCACCTGAGCGGCTCGGTGTCGCCTCTAGCCAGCTACAGCGCAGGACAGGCCGGGGAGAACGAAGGGACGCCAGTCCTCCCACCTACATCTCCTCCCCGCTTGTACAGGAGGCCGTGTGCCAAGACGGAGGCACAGAGCAGATCAGGCCTCTGGGCTGTGCGGGAAGGACCTGGGGAAACAGCTTCTGTGTCACCTGGGTTTGGTTTTATTGTTTGGTTGGTTGATTGGTGGGTTTTGATTTTTTGTTGTTGTTGTCTTTCCCCCGCCCCTGTCCCTTTATTTTCCCTCCTGCCATCCGAAATCTTTTTTTTTTTTTCGTCTCAGCTGCTGGCCACCTTGTCTCCCATATGGATGGGGTTATCTTAGAAGAATCTCCCAGAGAATCGCTCCTTAAACCTCCTTTTGTCTTGGAGGTTGAAAAGAGCATTGTTGTGTATGAAAAGGACCTAGACAAAATCCGCACTGTTTCGATTCAGGACTGTTTAATCAGTCCCTAGTGACAATTTTATGGGTTTTAGGCGGTACAATAGCATCTTTTAAAACCTTGTGGCCTTCATGAAAACAAAGGGCTTGAATTTTATGGGCTTACAACTCCAATTAGAACAGTGCCAATGTGTATGGGAGATTATCAAATTTGTATCATAAAACCCCTCTAATAATAAATGATTACTGGAAGCTGGGGAGGGGCGGGGGTAGAAAGGACCCAGACTTCAAGCAATGGACTTTGTCGCATGTAGTTTTAAAAGTACAGATGCTTCCCTCCATTTTAACCCTTTGCAACCCAGCTATGCAGCAGGATCATCTGTGAAAAATAGTGTGATAACGTCATTAGAAAAGGAAACAAAGACAACGGGACAAGACTGCTCCTCCTCAGCACAAATCTACCTTCCATCAGCTTGCAGAGTGTTTGCAGCATCTCACCTGGAAGGATCCTTTCCTGGCTTCTCGCTGCAGGACAGCAGCTGCTGTCCTGTCCAAGAGTCCACACACTGCCATAGGAAGGCTCTGCAAAATAGGAGGGCTTCCTTAAATTACTGCTTTTATGAGCTACTGTAGATCCAGGTAATGACAGGGGATGTCCCTTCCCAATCCCACGCTGCAGTGATTTTCTCTGATCACCAGCTGCAATGTCACCTGATGTGGGTTTCTTCACAAAAAATGTACAATTTGTGAGTGTTGCCTTTTACCAAGTCCAGGGAATGAGAAAGGTCCAGTACCCAGGCACTAGCAAAGACTAACAAGGTGCTCTGGCAGGGAAAGTGAAGGCATCTCAACAGGGGTAGGGGGAAGATGGCAGAGACATATTCAAACATGAAAAAAATCAGCCCTCTATTTTAATTCACTCAAGTAGAAAGAAGAATATTAAATATTGAGGCAATTCAATAGTCTATGGAGATTTACAGAAAAGAAAAAGCCTTGTGAAGAGGATAGGATGAGACTGAAAATATTATTTTTTTCCTGACAGAAACAAATTAATCTGTCCAAATTTTAAGCACATTTAGCAAGGAAAATAGTTAACTTTACCAACAGTTAAGCTGTATCTAGGAGATACTTCTTAACAAGTGCCACTAATAACAGCTTCAGGACAAGAGAAAATTAGCACCTTTCAGTGTAGTTTCTGCTAATTTGACTTGTTTTTTGATAAGGCATGAAATCATCTCAGTTATTGGTTTAGATTTTTTCATCTCCTCCTCAAAGGGGTGAATGCACAGTTTCTGCCTTTTCTCTTTCTTTTTCTCCACCAGGTCTCATTTTTACTTTCCCCCTGCAAACAGACCTGTGAATTTCACTGAAACTAATGAATAAGCATATCATGATCAAGACCTAATGCCATCTTCAGCTAATGAAAAGCATTGCTAACATCTACAAACATATTCCTGTGTGCTTCATTCTTAGCTAGTAAATAAACTTTTGACTTTGCAAAGGCCCAGTCCTGTTTCAGTGGGAGCCCCTGGGCACATGTTTGTTAACTCAGAACTGAGACATTAAGACAAGCGACCAGGTTGCCTCTATTTTTGGACAAGAGTTCTGAAAGAGCATATGATCCAGCCTCTTTGTTATACTTCATGAACAAGTTGAGTGTACCCCTGCCAATGCACATCCATCATTCATCTTTGTATATACACACACCATACATTTTAAAAATTACAACAGATGAAAAACATCACCTCTGAAGCAGAGCTCTGCCATGCTCCAAATTCTCTTGTCACTGACTTAGGAAAGGCTCCTGGCAGCCTTGCAGTATGTATGTCTTGGTTAATGACCCATCTGAACTGTGCTGTTATCTAAGTGCGGGTCAGGTCTGTCAAAACTTTTGGAATTTCATCCCCTTGTACCTTGGAGCATTTGATGGGAATAGGCCTTCCACCCTGGCTGAGAGCCCAGCACAGTGAGCTCACTTTCAGCAACTGGTGGTGTCCAACTCTAGTTGTGAAGAAGCCCAGTTCTGGCTCTCCCTGTCCTCAGTGACCCTCAGAAGTTGCAGTTCATTGTTTAAGGTAGTGTCTTACTGGACTTGAGTCCTTGATAGCTGCTGCTTCTTGGGAAATGGGAACAGCTAAGATACAGGAAGAAGAAGGAGGAAGAGGGATTGTTCAGAGCTCTGGAATTTGTTTTCCCCAGTAACTGTTGTCTGATGAACACTTGCCTGCGCATGAGAAAAATGAATTGTTTTGCTTTGTTTGTGTGAGTGACCTTTGTTTTCCCTCTTAAACTGCCTTTATCTCAACCCATGAATTTTCTCACTTTTTCTTTTTAATTCTCTCCCCCATCCCCTCAGTGGCAGAATGTGTGGTGCTTAGTTTCTGGCTGGAGTTAAACCATGGCTCCCAGTTTAAAGCAAACTTCCTGTGGGAAAGGAGGCAATGGAATGAGAGCAGAAAAGTTGCTTTATGCTCCTCAAGCATAGAGCTGAAGTAACACTCAGGAGCAGAGGAGCTCAGATCAACAGAAACACTATTAAAATGACTAAAAAATCACACAGCTACTGGGTATAACAAACCCAAAGAGATCTCCATCTGCCACTAAGCAAAATTTATTGAGCTATGAGATCAGGTTGCTTTTTATCATATTCAGGCTCATAATTGCCTTCTAAATGATGAAGAAAATCAGCTCTCTAGACCAAGGATGTTGGCAGTTTTCTCCACTGCTTTCCTATTTAAAAGATGTCATAAGGTGTTCTGGAAAAAGCAAAGATCTCTCCAGAACACAGTTACAGCTTTTTTAATATTCAGGACCAACATGGAGAAAAGTCCATTTCTGACATCCACTGGTTTCAGACTACCTTCCTAAATAAAAGGAGAGCCAAACATTTACTTCTTCACAGGCCTTTGCTCAATCTAAGTCTTAAACTTCAGAGTTAGATATCCTCTTCAGAATCTCACAGAATTTGATTCCAGATGAGTAATACTTTAAAAGAGAAAAAAAACGAGAGAGACAGAGAGACGTAGCAAAAGGACGTAGGCAAACCAGTAACAACAGTGAAAAGATTAAATCTCCTCACCACTTTTGGTGCACAGGATGTGTTTTCATGGGACTGTCCTTGCTGCTTTTGAACAGTTCAGGGGCATCTCCCAAGATCATGTCTCCAAGACAGCCCTGCTCATTAGTTCATAGTATGGACAAAAATGATTTCTTGATATTCCCACAGTGTTTGACTTTGCAATAATTTTTGGCAGGAAACATCTGACTTTTTACACTGAGAATGCAGTTTTCCCCT